GGGCCCAAAAAGAAAGGCAAATCTAAAAATAATAAACAGTCTAAGGCATTGAAAAGTAAGCAAGTCAGCACCAAAGTAGAGGATGGAATAACTAAAAAGAGCTTTGAAAAAGTTTGGGATAAGGACTTAATGCCTGAGAAAACAATTCTTAAAACTGCAAAACAAGAAGAAATTGACAAGCTAAATGCTCGTCTTATGCAAGCAGAAGATTATGATTTGTTGACCTGCACCCAGGAAGCTGCTGACAGTATTGCTAATCAGAACTCTATTCACAAAACTGCTGCTGAGGACAGGAAAAATGTAAATTCTGACACAAATGGTCAAAAGAAAGTTCGGTTTACTGAACCAGTCATCTCGGACTTTATTCAGACTGGTAAAATAAACATAATTGGTTATCGTAATGCTAAGAAAGAGTTGGATGAAGTCAAAAACAAAAAGAATATTAAGAAAGAAGAAGTTGAAGCAGTAAAAGGTGTAAAAACAGAGCGGAAAAGAGAGAAGGATAAAGAGTGCCCGATAGGATCGAGTAAAGATGTTGAAGATTGTGAATCAGGTACTTTATGATTATTACGTTTTTTAATTTTGGGCCTTTTTTGATGGCATATTACGTTATTGATATACTGGAATTTTTTCTTTTTGTTGAATTATTTTTTATAATGAATAATTACATCCTTAATTTACCTTCTTAAGGAGATTGCAAACAAAATTGTTATTAAATACTTCTATTCTAAGAATTGCTTAACAAAGAATGAAACATTAAATTATTTGAAATTGTTTCAAACTAGTTCAACACATCTAAGTTTGACATTCCCTCAAATTTTGGGGGGAAAAAACAGGATATTTCTGCCAAAGTGGAAGAAAAAAGTTGATGTAAATTGAATTTTTGGGGATATCTGTATAATTTTAACTAGTTTTCCTGAAGGGAAGAAACCCTTAATCAGCCCCTTCTATAGAAGCTCTGTCAACCAAACTATCATGCTGATGAAACTGTTCACCTAGCCTTCTGATCTTATCATCAAAGTCTTTGTCCTTAAAGTGTTAATGTGTAGTTTTGTTTTTTATGTTCATTCTAGATGACCTGTCGGAAGATTATCGTTTCCAGGACGACAGTAGTGGAACTGATGATTTAGATATTGAGCCAACACAAGATCAGTATGAGAAACCTAACATTGGTATGTCCTTGATTGATGAAATACTTTAAATTGAAAAAAATTAATTCACACTTTTGAGGTTTTTTTTGTAACAATTTGTCAATATTTATAAAATTGTTATAAAATTTGTTAGGGGGCGTGAGGGATGTTGCACTTATTCATTATCCCTCATGTACAGACTCGATCAAACCGAGTCTGCAATTTTCATGTAATTTTGTTGTTATTAATGCTTCCAATGGATCACTTTATTTCCAGATGGTTATTGATAGAAAATTTTGAAAAGTATTAAATTAAATATTCCCTTTCTTAAAGCATATTTGCTTATAAATAGTGATAACCCTTCTTAAAGACAAGGGGCATGTCTGAGTGACCAGTATAAGTTAATGTTATGCAACTTTTTCACATCAAAATTAATCTTTTTGTATAAATATGTCTTTATCATTCACAATTAAATAGTTATTTGTATTATTGAGAAGCAAGCTCCTTAAAATCATATCCCAGCTGTTTTGCTTCACTTCCCTAAGGGCTTCGAAGCGAAGATTAATGGAGCGAAAACTATGATCTGATTTTAATGAAATTGATTGAGAAGAGCATTTAAGCTTTATCGCCATACTTTGTTTAGGTGTTGCTCTTAGCAAAGAAAGTGTTAACAAGGCCTGCTGTACCCTACAATATTAAAAAGATTCATTCAATCTGTTAATATACGATATCATATGAAAATTTTATGTTAAAAAATGTATCTCAATTTTCTCTAGAAATCCAACCTGAAGAAATTAAGGCAAAACTTTCTCAAGAAATTGATGTACTTCAAGAAAAAGTTCAAGAAAAAGTTGTGCCAGAAACTCCACTCATTCCCATGAATCACAATCCCCCAAACACAAACGTCATAGAAGAGACTCCCGCAATATTCACTATGCCGAAGTTCAACAAAAATTTCTCCAGGCCTTTTGGAAAAACCAGAAAACAAATGAAAGTCAAAACACCACCATTACATTTTAAATCTGACGCTGTACCAGAAACACCAGAAATTGTAAATATAGACAAACATCCCGAAACTCATGAATCTGTTGGAAGGAAAAAAGAGGAATTTGAGTCTGAAGATGTGCTTGAAGAAGAAATATCACAAGGAAATAAAATACCGGTAGACGCAAAAGATGTGGAGCAGATATCGAAAACAAATTCTGAGGTTAAAAGCAAAATTTTAGGTGAATCAGATGAGACCGTATCACCTGATACAGATTTTACTGAGGTCCAAGTCGCCAACACTGATAAATATGAAAAAGTTGAGCATATGCAGGTAGACAATGACGTGGAAGATCTTGCTGATAAACCACAGGGGCTTGTAGATAGTGAATCTTCTTTGACACAAAACAGTGAATCTATTTTGCAGACAAAGACAGTTCCAAATAAGATAGGTTCCAGAATTGATGACAAAAATGATGAAGCTAAAGAAGCAGTCGGCAGAAGAACAAATTTTGAAGGACATAACAAAATGAATATGGACATCGAAGGTGATTGTGATTGTCCTGTTGCAAGCATTGAATCAATGACAAACACCAAAACAAAAAAGAAAAGAAAAAGTTTTATGTTAGATGAAGCTGAGGAATCTTTAGATTTCGGCTCCTTGAGTGCATGTGAACCTACAAGTGTAAGTGAGTACTCTGAAAGTGTAAGTAAAGCTAAGAGGCAAAGAGTGAATAGATTGAAAAGAAGTCCCAAGACAAAAGGAAATATACAAGATGTTCAGAAATGCCAAAGTCAAGAGAAAAATTCTGGGATATCAAGTAGTGTGGAAATAATTCCAGATACCATGACATTACAAAGTGGAAATAAAAGTTTAACTCCAATTAAAAGTTCAAATGCTGATAGAATACAAGAGAAAAAGGATTCTGAAAATATTGATGAAGATACCTGCCAAGTGATTACCTTAAGTTCCGAATCAGGGTCTGTTGCAAGTGTAGAGGAAGGCCTTAAAGTTGAAGGAAAGGAGAGCAATTTGGAGAAAATTGGTACTGAAATAGAACCAGAACCAAGAAATTTGGGTGTTACAGAAACGTCAGATGTTATTGCCGAGACTGAAATAGGTGAGATAGAAAATACAGCAGAACTTGAAATAAAAGAGAATGTTAATTATTCTATTAAATGTACAAAAAATATGATTTCTGAAAAAGTGAAAGTATCCGACTATTCAAAAAGTCCTAAAACAAGGAAGAAGAGAAAATCTGGACAACTTGGTCTTAGTGGACAGGATTCTCAAAGCAGCATTGATAAAGTTAGGCATTTAAGTGGTTTACTAGCTTCACCGCAAGATTCATTGATACTGTCTGGTGTAAAAGGGTCACCGGAAGATATTTTTAAGATGGATTCTGAAATGCCATCTGTTGATTTAAGTCCAAATGGAGATATTGTCGGAGAAGATCAGAATAGTCAAAGCTTAGATTTAGGAACATTAATAATGGAAGAACCACATTCAGATTATGTTAATTCAGTGAAAAGAAAAAGCATAGATGAGTTGGACCTAAATGATAAAACAGACAATGATTTGATTAATAATGATAATGATCAAATAGATAGGGAAAAGTCTGACTCTCAAGGGCACAGTTCTGAAAAATTAGTAAATCCATGTAGTAAAAACAAGGAAACTGAATTGAACATTAATTCTCCCTCAGATAATTTTGAAAGGGGTGGAAAAGTTAGTGGTGTAAGGGGTTTTGCGAAAAGGAAAAGAAAGTCTGCTATAGGACAGAGCCCATTGTCTCCCTCAAGATCTGAGAATTCAGCCATAGATGAAACACCTCTGTCTTATATAAACTCTGTGAAATATAAGTCACCTGTTGTAAAGTTTTCGTCACCTAAATTGGCAAAAGCAAGACAAAGTGAGATAATTGACACAGATATTCTTAATAAAGTTGGTGATGATACAAAAGTAATTCACAATAGTCCAAGTGACACATCAAAGTCAAAGGGAATTAAGGATTCTATGGTAGAAGTAAAAGAAATAAACACACCTGTGAAGACATTTGATAATATAAATTCATCAAAATACAGTCCAAAATTATTGAAAAATAAGAAAGAGAAAGGAGAAACAAATGAAAGCAAATTTGGAGTTGAGGTAGTTGAGTTAAGGAATGATGATGATGATAATGATGAATGTATACTTTCGCCGGGTGATCTTCCTGATATTGATAATGATCATGTTAAAGTGAACAAAGATGAAAATGTTGATCATATAATGGGTCACCAAGAACATGTGAAAATAACTAAAAAGTCAAAAGTTTCTCCTAAACTTATACTGAGTTCTCCTGACAAAGAAAATAATGTTGTAATAAGAGGAAAGAAGAATCAAGACACACCGAAGAGAATTGAAGATGAAGAGGAGTATAATACAGTCATTCCAGAGACCATGTCGGTTGACAATGATGATATTACTGCTGCAGCTTTAGATGTTAATAGTCCTACTGAAGGGCAGGATAAATTGACAGGAAAAGCATTAGACATAGATGAAGAGGACTGTGATTATAACAGTAGAACTGAAAAAGAGACATATGCAAAAAATGATTTTGGTGATGTTGTTGAAAACAGTATTAGTTCTTCATCAAGTTCAGAGTTCAGGATTGACTCATCAGATGAAAAAAGCATTGAGAATGAGGCTTTAAATGAAATCTCCAAGTTTAATGAAATAGTTCAGAATAGCCTGGACATCAATACAGCGACTGATTCTAAAGTTATGAAAAACAGCATGATAACACAAAATAAGGGTAGCAATTGTAAAGACTTTAGGAAGAAAAACAGTATTAAAATTGATGAAAATGAATCATTTGAAAGAAGTAGAACTTTGAAAGAAGGAAAACTAAAAAAAGCTCAAGATAGTTTAAAAGATATTTCAGATAAAAATGTTGTTGATATTGAAAACATGTATTCAACAAGACTGGACAGCAGTCCAGAGTCTTGTATTGAACTGGACATGAATGAGGAATCAGTGCCTGTGATACTTGAATCTGATATTGATGATGAGGTTGATGAAAGTGTAAAAGATGATGTTGAATGTATAGATGATAAACAAGATTTAGATGTGGACCGAGAAGGTGAGACAGAAAAGGAGATGGTAGATGAAGATTCTGATGATGACTCGGACGATGATATTAGAATTAAATCTGGCAGGAAGAGAGCCATACTGAGTGACAGTAGCAGTGAGGAAGAAGGTAATTTTATCACATATACCACACATAGAGGATATTGAATGGGTGTAGGTTTAAATTCTTAATTTATTGAACAAGTTGAATAACATCAAATTGATATCTCTATCAACAAAAATTCTTATCAAATAAAGTATGGTGCATGAGTATAAAAAAGTCATTTAATAAAAAGGTAATTACACTACTACTAGTGTGATAACACTTTGATGTGACGTCATTTGTGATATATACAAACATTGTGTTAAAGTGTTTGATTGAAAGCGTTACACTATAGGCGCCATTATAGGCGCGTCAATGAAACAATTCATTTTAGCTGTACACCATTCTTATTTTTGATTTAGTATTATTTAACAATCATTCAATCTAATCTATCAATGCAGACTTTACTTCTACTGTAATTGTATGGTTCTATTTAGGTTCCTGACATTATGATATGTAATACTACTTACTGTATAGCGCATTATATCTGCGGTGTCAAATGTTGGCGTTTTTTAAAGTGTTTTGAATTGGCGGGGTCATAAATTGGCGCAAACGCTTTTAGACCGCCAAATTAAAACACTTGTTGGCATAAATATGGGGTCATGAATTGGCGATTACAAATAAAGAATAAAAAAAAATAAATAAAAATAACACCGGTCACGCAGTAGTTGACTGTCCTCGTTTATTTTACGGCATACGGTATACCTATGCTTGATCACCTTTATCTTTACATCGTGCTAATTCTGAACGATTTTAATAAAAACATGAACTATTTTTGTTATAGATATATAATTAAATGAGTTTCGTACCAAGACTTAAAAATAAACAAATTCGTTTCAGCTTACTTGTAATGTTTATTTTTATTACAAATAATCAAGGGAGATTACTCGGACAAACCAAAGCTATTTTACCATGAGTTGTCTACCTTTCAAAGAATAATGACGATGATCTAAAATGGCGGTGCTTTAAATTGGCGGTGTTTTGAATTGTCACTACTGACCCTGACCGCCAATATAGCCAAATATAAACCCCCGCCAAAATAAGTACTTATACAGTACATAAATGCAGTTATAGACTGACTCATTGGTTTTACATTTATGAAATTTATTATCATAATTGGATGACTATTATTATTACTATTATTAAGATTATTATAATATGTAAAGAGTCAATTTATTCACAGTCTCTAAATTGTATCTAATCAAAATAAAACTAAATTTTAATTATATATTTTTCGTGCTTCATAGTACACACTAAATACAATATGAATCTTTTTGATTTTATTTTGTTTTTGTCTCAAAATTTGGCAACTCTGTATTATATTAATTACTTTCTGATTTCAGAAGAAGGAAGTCGCCATATGAATTACACATCTTCGTCTGCATTCTCCAGCCAAAGTGAAAATCTTACAACTCAGGTACTGCAATTATAAAATGTATTGATACAACATTATTGATATCTTTGTTAAATGGCTTAATTATTTACCTTGTAAATTGCTAAATTAATTAACTATTTAATTGGTTATGCTTATATAAGTGACAAATATATTTAAAAAACCCAAAGCAATCATTAAGAATGTGTTCACAAAACGAAGGGTAAGTTTTATAAGACATTGTATAAAGACATGCATGATACTTGTTGCTGAAACTTTTTTTCAATGTAATGTTCGGCTTCTGTTGCCGAGTGGTTAAAATAGCCAACTTAAATCACTTGCTCCTCACCATTGTTGGTTTGAATCGAATTCAATCAATCCTGTTGGGGACTTAAGAAATTTTGTGTGAGGATGTCCAGCTAGCTTACGGAAGGTTTGTGTTTCTACACAGGTGGCCACTGTTGCATGAAACAATGTATATAGCAGCACCTATGGTCTTCCTCCATCTTTAAAATTTGATAGTTGTCATATGACCTTTATAGTGGCCGTGTGACTTAAAATGCAACAAAACAAACAAAGGTTATTGTAATATTAACAGTGAAATTGGTCTTGACTGATAGTGTATACTGAAAACTGGAAGTTTCAAATATGGATACTGGATATCCAAGATAAGTTCATTTATGAAGTTAAACAGATTAAGGGTATTTGGTTAACTTGGTTAACTATCATGTGTATATTTCTATAATTGTTGGGACAATAATTATGTTTTATTACAATAAGCATGTCTAGAGATGCTACAATAGACTGAAGCGTATGTTAGACTTACATCACAATGTAGTTGTATTTCTTTATATGGTCTTACACATGTATAAACCCATTTGAAAATGTAATTGGTATAACCCTGTGTTCTTATGATATATTTCGGCATACTTTTATCGGATAGATCAATTGTCTATGATGAGAAAATCAATTCACATTGTAAAAAATCTAAATTTTCCTTTTTGTATTGCCTTCAAAGGAAAGACAGTCTCTGGAAAAAGAAGTAGAGAGAATGGCTCGAGAAATGGAAGCCATGAAGGAACAGTTAAGAAAAAGTAAGGAGATGAATAAAGCAAAGAGACCAGGTATTTTTTTTTTTAGTCATTGCTATAAACTTTATAAATATATTGTCCCTAGTAATCAGTAACCATTTGTTTATCATCCTTGTCACTTTGTCAAGCATTTAATTTCTTATATTTTCTTGCAGTGATTTTTTTTCCCCTATATTTAACAGCCAATTAAAGACTGTTTCCTTAAAATAGGTATATTTTACCTTCAGAAAGCCACATGTTGTTTTGAAAATTACCAGAATATATTAATTCATAATCAAATGGATTGACATACTATCTGTTCTTGGTTACTTTCCTTACTTCAGTTGGCAATGTGATTCACAAAAAGGGCAAATTCCTTTTAAGAATTTTGTGATTATATGTAGGTGTCATTTGTGACAGTAAAAATACTCTAAATGTTATATTACAGATATATGTAAAAAATTACATGATGTATATACATGAACCTTTGCAAATAGATGACTGTGCTATGCACATTAAAAATATTGCCATGAGAATTAACAGATTTCAATAATAATTAACAGATTTCAAGGTAGTTGTTAGTTTTATGTGAATGACCTCTAGTGTCTGTCTATGCCTTTAAGGGCAACACCTTCAAATATGGAAATATATACATGTATAAATATGTGTCAGAATACAAGACTTTTGTAATATACATTTAAAGTAAAGCCTGAATAGATTAACAACAACATGAAGTTTTGTATACTTTTTCATCAGACAAGAAATCTGTAAAGATTGAAGACTCAGATGATGATTTACCTGTCATAGAAGCCTCTGATTCAGAAAATGGAGATGAGGATCTTTTCTTGTCTCCACCTGCGATTAATCCTGGAGACCTTGAGCCAGACGGTGAGGAAACTTTGGACCCAGCTGCTGTGCAGGAGTCACAAAATCATGGTAAATCAAATTTGGTATAATAATTAAAGGTAGGTTACATATTCTAAACATGAACTTGATTTAGCTGTACATCTTTTAACCCTTACAAGCCTTAATTAGTTATTACTGGTATCTTACATGTAAATGGTTTGGATCATTTTTTTAGTTTGGACAAAACCATTCATCCCTTTTAGCTTTAAAAAAAAAATTGAAGTATATAATAACCAAATAGGGTACAGTGCAGACCATGATCAGATGGCATGGATGAGCTGACTGATCTTGGTCTGCATTTATTGCATGGGTAGAATCAGTTGTGGCTAGCAGGCTAAAGGTTAAGTTATTGTCTGCATTTTCATTTTTTTTTTTTTTTTTTTACAAGGCTTTTACTTGATATATTATATATTTTGAGGGTCATATTTGTGAGTCACTTAGAGCCATAAACGCATTTATTAAAACTGTGATACTAAATTAATCCCCATTGTAAACATTTTTGATGTATTCTGTTTTATAAAGATATATTCATTTAATTGTTTTATAGATATATATTTAAGAAATAACATCAGCCTGAGAAGTGTATATCGGCTATTTAACACCGGTTTGGAGTTTTGATGCGTAGGAATTGACCACGAAGGCACTAGGCCTGAGATGTTAATTTTTTCGCATCAAAACGACAAAACCGGTGTCGATTTTCGTATTACGCTGTTCGATTTTCGCACCCTACTGTTGCAAAGATATAGAAATAATTAAACAAAATAAATAATATGAAAAAACGTTATTTTATCAAGTTTTCAACAATAAAAACTTACGTCGTATTGTGTTTACATCAGTGCCCCATTTATAATTCTTGTATGTATGAAATAACGTCAGCTTGTTTTTGAATGAGTCGTTTCTTTATGATGACGTCATTGCGCTGCTTACGGATTGGCGCCGTTTTGTCAAAATATTTATTTATGATATGGATCAAATATGTGGCGTTAGGGTAGGTGAGATGTTATTTCGGTATTGAAAGAAAAGAAAACATTATATGAACTGAAAATAAAAATAAAAAATGCTTTTTATTGTTGCTTTAAAAGGCTTTTTAAAATATATAATCGAGGGTGAAAACATAAAAGCCGCATATACAAGTAGTCCCTAACCAGTGTTTGTTGGCAGTTTAACACCGGTTTTTTTCCTTCTGTGTCTGTAGTGACAAATTCACGTGAGTGTTAGAATCATTTAATATACTTTTATTATCACTTTTGATGAAAGTAAAACTTTGGGGAATCAATTCTTAGTGAAAAAATACTTAAATCTATACTGTAAATCATGTTTATTTATATCTTAATTTTACAGATGAGGTTACAGATCAGGTTGAAGAGAGTCTAAGTCTGTGTCAGGGGAGTTTTACTGTACCCGAGTCTGACCCCAGCCAGGTATCTCAATCAGTGTTGCAAAAACCAAACCTTAGTAACGTGTCACACCCTGTCATCCCCGAGTCAGACCAGAGTAAGGTGACGCGTCCAGTCTTGAGTGACCTTGATACCAATATTATCCCAGCACCGAAATCAGACCCTACCAGACATGTTGGCATAGTAGTCACCGGCCTTAATGTTAAGCAGATAGTGAGTATAATGCTTTTTGTAGTCGTGATATTTTAACACTTACCTTACTGGGACCATAAGTGATATAAAGCCTTTGCCACAAGTATAAAGCTTGGCCAGCCTGTACATTTGTTTGTTTGTTTGTTTTGGGTTTTACGTCACATCGACACAGTATAGGTCATATCATGACGTTCCAGCTTTACTGGTGGAGGAAGACCTCGAGTGCCGTTCCGTGCATTATTTTAGGCACGAACGAGCACCTGAGTAGAACCACCGACGTTACGTAAGCTAGCTGGATAGCTTCCTCACATGAAAGAATCCAAAGTCCCTGTCGGGATTTGAACCCACAGCGGTGAGGCCAGCCTGTACATGTAGTCTGACCAAGCTCTGTTCTGTTGGTAGGTAGCTCAATTTTTTGTACCCTTAAACTTGAAATAGATTGCTCAAAATTGATAGTAGGACAAATCTGTCACAAATATTCAGCAGGATAAAGGTTTGTTACATGTTCACCAAGCTAACAGGGAGTCAATGGTTTTACTCAAGTGTCTGAAATATTATTCCACCAGAAAAATTGTCAGCAGGAAGATAGGTTATCATTAAAATACAATTTGTTAATTTGGACTTAATAGCATAAGTTCACATAAGAAATGATAACAAATTTCATTTTGTTAAATAGTTCATATTGAAATACATGTGCACCTGTTAAATGGTATTGCAGAAGTTTATTTCACCATTCTTAAATTGGTTAATCTTTAGTACAATCAAATGCTGTAATATGTGTGAACGTAGCTTGACAGAGTGCCTGACAAAGATCTATGGCTGTTTTCTCTATTTCTTGAATATTGTTTGTGATTTATTGTCTGATTAATCACGAGGCTAAGCAAATCTCGCTTGTTTAAGGTAGTCTTACTGTATTGCAGTCCTGCCAAAAAATTGTAACATCGGCCAATATCGTAGCAAATTGGTTGTATCCAGAATTTTATTTTTTTTCAAAATCTTGTTTACTGTCAACACATACTGGTATTGTTTATTTTGCTGAAGATGATAATGGTTCTGGCCAGCTTGAAAGATGGGCAATTCCATTAAGATAATTAGCATGGTAAAGGTTTAAATCTTGCTGTAAGTAATACAACATTTTATTCATTTCTTCCAGCAACAGACAAAGAAACTTGCAGCTTTAACCAGTGCTAAATTCTTCACAAAGTTCAACGATTCTGTCACTCATGTTATAGTTAAACCAGGTAACTATTCTTAGATTTCTGTGTTTTAAACTTATTAAGTTGTTTCATCTTACTGTGCTGCATATATCTGTAGGAGTGGATGAACTTTCATTAACATGACATTAGTATTACTCAACTGTACTACTGCATTTATGGACTTTGAATTTTGAAATGTCCAAAATAAGGAAATATGAATATAAGCCTCGTCATGACAAAGCCAACATAGTGCCACTGCATTCTTACAAAATCTATTACAAGTAGAAAAACTGATAGTTAATATTATGGATCCTGATCAGACTGCTTGGATGCGCAGGCTTGTCTGGATCCATGCTGGTAGCTAATGCCCTATGTTGGTTTATTATGGCATGGCTCATATTCAGACGCTTTGGATGAGCAACAAACTATTAAGAGACTGGTAAGATCGCACACATTAACATGTTGGTGTGCCTCTAAAATGGTACCATAAGCCTTTTATAATATCTCAGCCAAATGGCTAAAAAAGTTTATTATTTACTAAAGCATTTGCCTGCTTTGCTGCATTCTTCAAATGTATCTTTTGTTAATATACCATAGTGATATCGTATGCTGTTTTTGTAGCTGTAATGTAATATGCTTGATCAGGAGATTTGTGTGTGTAGTTTATTTGAGTTATATTTTGTCATAAACATTTTCATCGAATCATGATGAAGAGTTATGTGAAAGCAATAGGTTAATGTACATCCTGACATTTTTAGACCATATTGGCCGAGTGGTTAATCTAAGGATTGCTGACGGCATCAAACCCTGCCAGGGGCGAGCTGTTGTTTCCTTTAGCTAGAAACAGTAAATTTATTGCTCAGAACTGGTTGGTTTCAGGAGTGAGTATTGAATGTTTCAATAAGCTTATTACTTCCAACACAATCAAAATAAAACAAATTTGAATAATCTAAATCATAGAAAATGCACCAAACTTCCAGTTGTGTCCAGTGGCATATTAAAAAAATATTACCCCTGATGATATCTCAATGAAATATTTTTGGATATTTAAACAAATAATATGTTATACATAATTTACTAACTTATATTTTAGCGGACGAGGATGACACAGTTTGTGACAGAACTCTCAAGTTTTTTCAAGGTATAGCTAGAAAATGTTGGATTGTAAACTTCTTCTGGGTCGTGGACAGTCGGGAAGTTGGTCAGCTACTACCAGAGGTTAGTAAATAACTGGAAATGTTTGTGTGTATTTGAGTTTATTTATACTTGCCACCGGTCGCCTATTTGGGCAAGTCCTAAAGAAGAGTATGAGTTATTGACTGATTAGTTATGTTAGTTGGCCAGACCAGGAATCGAACCAACAATGTGGAGATTATAAGTCTCGTGCTCTAACCAATTGAGCTATGCGGGCTGGTAATAATAATAACTGGGAACAGTTACACAATACAAGTTTTCTTTGTTTTAAATGTGTGTCGGAGGGAGGTCGTGTGTCCTTTTTGTGGAATTTTTATTTACGACAAAGTAGTTATAATGATATATTGATTCTAATGATAATAGAAAATAAACCATGTTCAGAGGTCACTTGAGACAATGACCTAGATAAATACAAATAGAACGGTCCCTGGGGACCATTTGTGTGGAAAAACGGTCTATGGATAAATGTTATATCAATGTGAAGCTAAATACATGAAATTGAAGTTTACTAAAAATTTAGGTAGACTTGTCCACTTTATTAATTTTCATATAGAGATATTGGAAGATAAGAGGTATTTAGGGGTTTCTTTATTGTTTATGTATTTTTATGAATAGAAAATTTTATTTTCCACCTAAATTCTTTTGATTTGTCAATTATATGAAACAATTTATCTGAAGATAATATTTTTAACATTTAGAAAAGGGGAAAGCCACTTTTATGAAAACTGCAGTAAGTTAATAATGATTAATTGAGAGATGTTGTCAATATTTTTCAGGGACCCTATGAGATTCAAGGAGACACCACTTTTAATCAATCTCACTTTGGACCTAAGAAATCAAGGCTGTCCAAAGATGACAAATTGTTCCAGAAGTTCCAGTTCTCTCTTATTGGTGACAACACATATCTGTCAAAAGGTATATAGATAAGTAAATATGTTCTGTAAAGAAAGTATGCACTGCCAATGAAGTTGATAATGCTTTCTTCAAATTACATGACATGTGTGTGCTTATCTGTGATCTTAAAATATGGTGATTTTAGCTTGAAAGTGGGTTATTAGCTTAAATCTTGTAAAGTACATGTGTACATGTAATTATAATTTGTCTGACAATAATGATTGTGTAAGATTTGAAAATACACTTATACATTAGTCCCCTTCCAGTTCACTAGAGCATTTCCTATTGGTTTTCCCTCCATACCTCTGGACAAAATTAGATATTTAGAAGTCCATGTAACATTACTTAATACTAATTGTTTGCTGCCATCACAACATAATGTATTTGACTTAAAATGTTAAGTTACCTAACAGACTAGGACCTCTGCGGTCGTGTGGTAAAAGTTGCTCACTTAAATTCACTTGTTCCTTACCACTGTGGGTTTTGAACTCCCGTCAGAGATTTTGGATTCTTCCATGGGCGGAAGTTTACCTATTTAGTTTAAAGAAGACTGGTGGCTGTACTTGGGTGATTTCTCATGCCTGAAATAATGCACAGAGAGGCACTTGAAGTATTCTTCCACCAGTAAAGCAGGAAAATGGCCATATGATCTTTACAGTGTTTGACTGACTTAACACTTAAAAGGTCAATTTTCTTTGCAGATTCAATGTGTGATCTGATAGAAACATGCGGAGGAGAAGTTATGGATATTGTGAAGCTCAGTAAAGGCAAGAGAACCCAGTTTGTTATCTCGTGTACTGATATAGATGATGACGAAGAAGATGTCCAGTCTATTGTTAAGCATGCCAGAGGTAACAGCTTCCTATTTATGGTGCCAAAATTTTCAGATGTCACATTTATTTGTCTGTTTGTCCATCTGTCCATCCTTTCTTTATAAAAGTGTCCATCTGTCCATCCTTTCTTTATATAAGTGTCAATCTGTCCATCCTTTCTTTATAAAAGTAAAGTGGATGTAGATTCTAGAAAGAGTTAGTACAATACAACAGTCTTTCTAGTCCACCCATAAGCTATATCTTATAGTGTAAGGTTGCATTGTAAGAAATATTCTTGATGTAGATGGGGGGAGCCTCTGTTGGCGAGTGGTTATAGTGGCTGCCTGTAAAACACTTGCCCCTAACAGCTGTGGGTTGGAATCCTGCCAAGGACTTGATTCTTTTATGTGAGGAAGCTATCCAGCTAGGTAAAAGAATGTTGGTGGTTCTACTCTCTACCTGAAATAATGCACTTGAGGTCTTTCTCCACCAGTAAAGCCTAGAACCGGCTGAATAACATTAACTGTTTAGGTGTGACTTTTAATCTAACCTATCAATAAAAGAAAGTAGATTTTTGATATTGATGACTTTTAACTGAAGGAAAAATCATTTTGTTATGTATTTGTTTGTTGTTGCAGAGATGTACAAAAAACATGGTATTGTCACATTGACACGAGAGTGGATTTTAGACAGTTTGACGTTATACAAGATTCAACCTGTACAAGATTATCTGGTGACAGATTTACCAAATTTGAAGCTGCCCTTGATGTGATCCAATATTACATACATTACTGGGTCTCAAATTGCAAAAATATTTAAACTATATTTGTATAGTGAAAAGACACCATGTGCTAATGTGATAAAATTGATCTTGGAAAATATTAAGTATGTGACAATTAAATTGATTATTTTTTAATGTGCCTTATTATAGATGTGGTGCTAGATATGATATGGCAAGGTGCTTGTTTTGTTCTGTATTGTTTTGTCTCATTTTGTTACATTATAGTTTTAATAGGTATTTTATCTTTTAATTTTTATGGCCAAAACATTTTAGCCTAAAATCAATGTTTCATTTTAAAGGAATGTATTGATTGTAACTGATAAAATCCATGAATTTTAGGTTATATTATTGTTTGTTTCTGTACTATGTTATCATAGTGCTAATTTTTTCACTACATAAGCGCTGAGGGTCCATATAAAAGCCCATGCACAATTTGAGGAAGGCTCCTTCACAATTTGAGGAAGGCTCCTTCAAAATTCCAAAATGCCAGATTCACATCTTTTCACAATAAAAAATGTAATAGATTGATGCCACAGAAAATAGAAAAACTTGTGACCCTTTCACTGCCAAAGCTTTAATTACTATAATAATGATATATTTACCCAGGACATTGATTTTAACAAGAATAAAATAAGTGTAATAGGAATGTACTTATGATAGATGCTTTTTCTTCTTATTTATGTATTATGTATTTATAAATAAAACTACAGTAACACTTTTATGGAAGACAATGAACAATAAGTTTAGATAAAGTGATAAAGGGAAAACTGATATACAATAGTAAGGTACAATTTAGTGACATAAAATGTATATTTTGCATATAAAGATGTACCTTCAAAAACTTTACCAGGATTGTGAATGTTTGTACAATTGTCTTAAACCATAAAATACTTTTTCTCTCTAAAAATTTTGAGGTAGTTTTTTTTTGTAAATTTATTTTACTTATCTGGAGGCATGTGACTTTAAGGCTGTCATGTTGATAAGCAGATTCAAGTTTATGTATGTTATAGAGAAGTTGATACATGATCCAATCAGATAACATTACAACACAAACCATTCCAGTATTTGATATAAAGGGACTCGACTGAGGTTTATTAACATGATGGGTCTGGAAATCATTTTTCAAAAATTGTAGAGATGTCATTGATTCAGTGCAAAGCATATCAACTATATATCAATAACAGATGACAATTTCAGTGTCTTGTTTATAAAAGCTCATAGCATGATATTTTTTTCCACACTTTATTTTTTGTCATCATTGCTGTGAAATATTTCCACTTAGTCTATATAATAACAGCATAATGTTAGACATAGATAACTGCTTCTGTATATGTTTTGGGTTAATTTTCATTTCTAGACATTAGTCAAAATTAAGGATTTTGTTAAATGTGTATTAATTTTTGATAGAAAGAAAAATATCAACGATACATCGATATTGTCTCTATTGATGACAGCTCTAGATACTTGTGTAGCATTTGATGTAGGTCTGGACTTGTGTGGAAAAGTTGACTCCCCTTTTCCATAATATAATTGTGAAGAATGCCCAAAAATGAAAAGCATTTTAAACACTTTTTACACAAATTTGGAAAGAATCCCACAAGAAGTCAATTTTCAATTTATTCTGAGTTCATGTATATTCCTTTATTATCATGGGCAATTATTTTCTACGTTGTATGCCACAGTTCATCTATGTAAGAATTGGAAAGTTTTTATCTATTTTTGCTTTTGGACTTCCGTGCAGCACCTTTGAATTGTTTTAAATATTTTTTTCCTGTATAAATTTATTCTCATTCAATTCTTGAAGTTACTCAGCTTCTTTCATAATCATCTCATTTACATAGAATAAAATACTGCATTTATATACAAAATGACATGCTGGTTTTTCTAAATTGAATATGTTACATTCATTTTATAAAAAGTAAAAAAAATACAAACATATTTTAATGACTTGTTATTTATTTTGTTTTGTTATTTTAACTGGACTATTTGAAGAATAGTGGGGTTATCCTGCTTACCCCAGTGATTAGACACCTATTGGAAGTCATACATGTATAAGGTTCTCATAACCTGAGCATATATTTTGACTGAATTATGACACTTGAACTTAAAAGAAATCTGGTTAAATTTTTTATGCAACATAAGTCTTCAAAACTACTAAAGGTATTTATTAACCCTTTACCTCATATATACGCGAAAACTTAAAACGCACTTTCGACCCCCCCCCCCCCTCCTTTTTTAGGCCTGGAATAGTGAAAAAATGTCCTACTTGGGCCCCAAACACATGTTCTCGTTTGAGAAATGTTACTAAAAAAGTGAGCACTTTTTCGGCGCCGCCCCCATCCAAAAGATACATCAGGGGGTTGCCAGAAGGGGGATGTGCCCCCTTCCGTTTGGGGGGTTTGAAGGGGGCGGAGTCCCCCTCATCGCCTTTGACTCTATCTCAATCCCTTGAGAAGTTGCAGCACTTTGAAATAAATTTTGATGGAAAAAATCGAGGCAAAATAGTGATTTTTGGCAATTTTGAGATGTCCCTCGTTGCCATGTTAACAGGAAATTTAAGATTAGCATGTCGTAACAAAGGCAATGGTCCAGTCAACATTTGTGCCAAGTTTGATTAGAATTGAAGCATTTTCCATAGTTTCATAGCAGTTTGAACTTGTAACAGGAGGCTTTTCAGTGAAAACGGCCGTTTTTCACAATATGCTCATGAGGGAAAGGGTTAAAACTTGACACACTGATCATAATTGGAGGTCAGTATCCAAGGCCAATAGTTCTCATAAGTCTGTTCTAGAGCTTTTAGGCCATGTCTCGTGTGTATTGGCATCTTTGGAAAATGAGCTCGACCACTTGTTTTCAGTGTCACAGGAGCATTGTATTCACTCCGACAGATTAGATTGGTAATGCATATGTGTAGTGAGCTTGTTGTGTCCCGTATGTGGCTTTATAAGCTGTACATCTCTGAAATATGATAAAGTTGTTACAAGTATGTATTAATGTATATTGGCCTCACTGCCCGAATGCTTAACGTCGCTGAACTTAAATAAATTTCACCGCTGGAATGTGAGAAAGCTATTCGTGTAGCTTATCGAAGGTTTGTAGTTCTACTCAAGTGCCGGCTTGTAAGTACCAAAGCCGAAAAATCAGCGTATGACTTTTACAGTGTCGACGTGGCTTAAAAGCCAACGACCAAAAATTACTGGTAGACAAATAGCTTATTTGTTTGTAGAAAAATCTTCATAAACGATCAAACCAAAGAAATAAATGACTGGACAGCTTTCTTATAATTAGTTTAACTCACAGGATTGAGGGAGGGTATCGTCCTCATTTTCGCAATCGTGTCAATTACTTTAACTAACAAATAAATTGCTTGGCTTAATAGGATTCCATCTAGCTTATTTTATTTAAACATACTGGGTTTATTCAATCATTTGATGCAGGCCTTTACCGAGGAATTGTGTACAAATTTTCAGATAATTTCTTTCAATAGAAATCATAGTGATTGATTTAAGTAAGATGACCCAATAAGAGAAGCGTTTAAACCGCTTTTTAATCAAACCAGAACAAGAATCACACACACGCGCGCGCACACGCACGCACACATAACTATTTTAGATTCATTTCTGAGTGTATTTCTTCTGAATAACTACATTGCACAGTTTTTGTTGAATGTTCCCCCATCGATCGTCGTAAGAATATTAGATGGGTTTTATTTTCAGAAAATACCCTCCTATATTAAATTTTATGTTTTTCATGCTTTTTTCATGCCACCCTCAGTGGAACTCTTTTAAGTTTGAATGAAGTCATTTCTGACGATAAAACTTGAAAAAGACATGAGCAGATTTAGTTCTGAATATGTATGTGTGTTTCAATAGGTTAAAAGTTGAATATTTTAACAATACATATCCGTAATATATATTTGTGTATTTTAATATGTTTTAAGTTTATTTGTTTAACAATAATTATCCGTAACGGTGCTACCACTGACTAAATTAGTCGTGTTGTTACCATTCAGAATACTTGATAATAATTGTTGTATCATGTTATGAGCCAACGTATATATTCATAAACGTACTAAGTGTGAGTAGAACACGTTTATATACAGTGATTTATAAAACCCCTTATCTATTTCCAATCTATAAACCGTGTGACATGTTAATACTCCATGTTTGCGGTCAGATATACTAATTATGGAAATGATATGTGGAACGAGGCAGTTCTTATTGTTACATATTTTATATTCTTTGTTGCATCAAGGTATTGTTGTTTTTTTATTTGATTTTTAACAGATTCTTTTTAGATCTACGTCTTTGTCAATTTGTACAGTTTAGAACTAAAGTTAATCAGTTAAACTTTAAACGGCGAAGTTACTTGTTTGACTTTAAGTACATTTTGTGTTTAAAGGGACTCCATTGAGGTTTTTTTGACATGACAGAACTGGAAATATTTTGTTGAGATTAATTATCCATTTGATGTGCCAAATTTAAGATAATTCGCTTTCTCCGTTTTTTCTAAAAGAAATATTCATGTTTAAATGTATTTTGTACAAGTCTGAAAATAAAGTTTTTGTTTTGTTCTGTTCTGTTCTTATTGTTAAACGACCCGAAATTGAAAAGCGTTGCAACGCTTTGCTCTCAAATCGACATAAGAATAGCACAAAAAAGGTTTATCAATTATTTTTTTTGAGTATACATGTACATCTTCATAATCCTTTACATATTTTTCTGTTTTAAGTGTCCCAGTTGATTTATGCAAGACATTAGGATATTTGTTTTTATGCTTTTGGACCTCAGTGGAGTTCCTTTAAGAATAATGTTTCTTGTTTTTTTGACGTTCAGAAAAACTTACATATATGATAACGCAAGTACTCACTGATCCTGATAATATAATTGTTTCTGCGACAAAGGTGTTGATTTCACACAGATTTGAATATTCTGAAAACCTTAAGAAGCAGGTCTTAAAGAAATGACAAAATAAATATGACATCTTCTAAGACCAAGACCATTTTACTATCAATGTAACTATTTTGTATGGTTTCAAAAATAGAAATAATGAAGTTTTTTACGTGAAATGTTTGATAGACATATTTCCTGGCTATACATGAATCTTAACCCTTTTTTTTATTCTAAACGTTTCTATCCGTTTACCAGGTAGATATAAAGAGTTACTATTTTCACCGTCAGAAGTTGTCCTGATAAAAAATGTTTGAACACATATAGTTATACAGTTATTATACGAAAATAATTAATTTTATGATAATTTTAGATGTCGCTACTCGCTGTTTCGAATGTCAGAATATTCCTTATCCAAGGGCTTGCTCAAAACTTGTTGACTGCAATTCGGACGAGGTGAATTTGTCTATAACTTTTTACTATTTTCTGTCATTGGTGTAAATTGTTCAGGATTTTACATTGAGAATCAATGTAATTGTGTTAAAATACATGTATAACTTAACATATCCGTAGTTATATTTCCATAGCCGAGTATATGTTAAAAGGATAGTTTAAAACTGCCTTCTTCAGTCCGTTGGAGTGATCCTCGGCCATTATCTATCCTTATCCGAAGACTGACGGAAAGGGCCGAAAAGTTGCGATTGGGTTGAGAATTGTCTAATGTAAAGGAAGTTTTTCATATTGATGAACGAGTAAATGACGCAGATAATTTACTCAGATGCCTGCTGTTAAAGACTGAAATAATGCCAAAAAAATGGCATCTGAGGTTTTTGTTCTACAGCCTGAATATAAAGATGAATATTGCCTTTGATTTTAATAACCATAATAATTACAGTTTCGGTGTGATAAATAAACTTATCCAACAAAAAGCAGCAATGCATTTTAATAAAAATTAATAGCATTTATTCTTAGTTTGAAATAAGATACATTTGTATTTCACATATGAGCCTCTCCATGACAAAACCAACATGGTGCATTTGCGCAGTCTGATCAGGATCCATGATGTTCGCTATCAGTTTTCTACTTGTTTGCTTGTTTGTTTCATTTTACGCCTTTTCCCAACAGTATTTCAGTCATTTAGCAGGTAGTTTCCTAACCATCGTTCCTGGAGAGTTACACCAGTACTAGACTACCTTCCTCCGTGCTAAACTACCAAAGCATCTCCCGGGGATCGAACCCACGCCAGAGAGGTAACTGGATTAGAAGTCATCGACTCTAACCCCTCGACCACCGAGGCGGTTATTTTCTACTTGTAATAGGGTTGGTAAGTGAAAAGCATGGATACTGATCAGACTTCGCGGATGCACAGGCTGGTCTGGATCCATGCTGGTTGCAAACGCACACATGTTGGTTTTGTCATGGCGCGGCTCATATATTGTGTTTTCAGCATTGTTTCACAGAACAATATGTAACTACAAGTGGAAGTATTGTTTATAGCACTGGTTGCTTGCCCCGGCAGGTAATAAGAAAACACACGAAAACAATTAGGTTTTTGTATAGTTTAATTAGACCACAGCTGTTTTCTCTCGGCCAATCAGAGAAGTTTAAAAGTGTTTGATATATCCCACACATCACAGTAAAGTGTTTGATATAACTATCATGTTTGTATTCAACTGAAAAGAAAAAAACTCGTTATGTGCACACTTTATGCGGGGAAAATTTATAAGTATATAGTAAAGTTCATAGTGTAATTCCCTTCTTAAAAAATAACAGATAGCAATTGTCCTTTGACCAATTTATTTCGTCAGTTCATCATTTTACAAGAATAGTTACTGTATTTGTAAATAAGAAAAAACAAGCAATAATGAAATGAAATGCGTTTACCAATCTATTTAAATCTATATATGTATCTACATTTTACGACCGCTTTTGTGCTAATATTTTTAGGCACTGTGCCTTGTGCATTATGCCCGGCTCACTCTTAATAGCAGACACTGTAGATGTACATTCATTTTCGGTTTGGGATGAGGGGATTCCACTGGTGGGCAGGGGGTGGAGTTTCCGAACGGTGACTGGACTGCGTTTGCAACGCTAAGGCAATGCTATGCTTTAAGGCTTCAGAGGGACGTTTGAAATATTTTTTAGTTGTGAATGAGGTAAAAAAGACAATGCAGGATGTATATAAAGCATACAACAAAAACACGAATCTATATGTCAATTAAAATATTTTCAACTTCAGCCGGACAACCAATCAATATCCTGAACCCTAGGGTTGTTTAAGCATTAAGTAAAACGTTAAATGAAAGTTACCTGCCCGTTTCTCCAAGAGCCCACTCTTGAGAAGCAGCCATCGTCCATGATTTCTGTCTAAGAGTATTTTTCGGTAAGCAGTTTTGCTTCTTGACTTCATATTCAAGCGCTGTGTACGGTGTAATGTCATTTAAACATTTAAATGAAGAATCAACAGGAATAACAACAAAATCTCTCAACTTGCAAAATTGTAATAATATCACATTCAGAAACGTTAAATTCTTCCCAAATTTCTTCTTACTGCATCTTTGTGATAGAATGTGAAATTTATCATTCATAAGATTGTGTATACAGTAACTTATGAAAGAACATGAATTATGCCATTTTCTCGTGCTTTTTTTGCCTACAATAAGGCCAAATAGATTAAGTAAGAAATATTTGGATGTAATTCTCGGAGAAAAAAATCGTTTACGCATATTAAATCTTCACCTTAAACAGAGAAAACTACCTGTGGTCTAAGTCAGATAGATCGCTCGTACCAGTTGGATGTGAGATTTATCAACTCGCTTCGCTCGTTGATAAATCTCACATCCAACTGGTACTCATGATCTATCCTATACTTATCAAACATTATCCACTGTTTAAACTTATACGAGGAGTATATTTCAATTAGTGGCAGCAACTCAATTTAACCATGATTTGCACGTGAAAATACATGTATAATACACCGTTGGAAAGATTATTGATTTTTCTAACCAACAGTCTATTTCCGCACGATTTGCACGTGCAATAAAATTTCAGCTGGTCATGTATATACATGTGGTTTTTGTAACCTGGTTGTAAACATGGTTGAGTTGCATTGTGCAAAGAGCTTATTGAAAAATTCGTTGATTATTGGGTATATGCGCGTCAGAAATAAAAAACAGATTTAAATTTAGTTTCAAGAGAATTTCAGGTGGGTGTTAATGTTTAAGGATGGTAGAACTAATGTTAAGGATTATCCCCGTCCTCGGCGGTCAATTGCCGCTAGCTCTGAAAGACATTAATAGCACTGTTAAAGCCAAAGTTGATGAAGATGTAAGATATACCGTGGAGGAAATAAGAGACATATCAGGCCTTAGTTTGTCATATGAGGTTTTCCATCTTGAAGAAAAGTTGAAGTTAAGGAAAGTTTGCGCCCGTTGGATCCCGCCTTTGCTAAATTCTGACCAGAAATGTGAGCGTGTTGAAAAAAGCCTCGGCCTTATTGACTAGGTTCAAAGATCGCGACCTAAGGTTAATTGTCACAGGGGACGAAACTGGTAAAATATACTTTTACAAGTGGCTTTGTGAAATAATCTCTCCATAATGGTACAATATATAATTATGCTTGTTTCAACACATATAAAATGTAACCAATGAATTTCTGCACGGGTGCGAGCCTCCAATATAATTCATTATTGGATCCATCAATTCAACCTTGTACAGAAACCATAATAAATCTACGACGTAATCCATCTAGCCTCTTTTTCATGTTCTTAGTCCCAAACATCCATATCAAGTCCATATTGTTCTCCCTCCCTATAGCATTGCTTTCACTAATACCATTTACTCTCAAGAAACTATTTACATGCAGTTATTGAATTTAAGATTTTGAATTTACTAATCCGAATTCCAGTTTTGAATTTTATTTCTACTACTGTATATATTTAACTAAATTTTCTTAAAATTAACACTGGCCCGAACTAATTTTCACTGGCCATGGGCCACCGGGCTAGTGCTAAATTCGATGACTAATCTACGAGAAAATAGCCACGATAGGGTAACATATTCATGGCTATTTTCTCGTAGATTAGTTGTTCTATCTGTGTTTATATCTCGATACTTGCTAATAAAATATATTTACTAGTATATAAAGTCATCATTTTATAAATTTTACAGCGTTGTACTATTGTTAGTGGCCAGAATTTTGGATCGACATTTAGCAACATTTCAGTTCGAAGTAACACCGATATTTCAACCTGTGTCGAATGCTGTGCTGGTGATTTTTGTAACAACCAGGGATGTGGAACAAAAGGTATACGATGTGTCGATCTGACGTTTATTACAAACATTACTGGAATAAATGTATCTAAATAACGCTGTTAAAACATTTAAAACCTTAATGCATGACAAGCTGTCAAAATTGCCACGGATGAAAAATCCTGGAGTTTTCAATTTTCCACGAGATTATTTTCAAAGAATCTCAAATCATTCTTGTGGTGTAACTCTCCTATTTTAGAGATGGAAGAAAAGTGCCGAAACGGAATTTTTTAAATGGAAACACATCTCCTACCTAGTAAATGATTCATTTAAATAAGAATATAAAAATGCCACTGATAAAATAGATGAAACAGAATTAGTTATTATCGCTTTAAAACCACGCAATTGCATCAGGATTGACCATAGCCATGGTGTCCATCCTCTCGAACATGATTCCACTTTTGTATTTTGTATTGTATAGATGATAACAATTTTCATAAGAATTAATACACACACTATCATAATGATATTGTCATTACAATAATACTGTTGAATTTTTTAATGGATTTAATCTTTTTCTAGCAAAACACCCCCTCCCCCCCGAAAAAACAACAACAAAAAACAACAATAGTGCAGCTCTATAAGAAAAAAACACCATGAGTACATAATAGAAAATGATTAGCTTCTCCAATGAATTTTTAGATATTATGCACTATGATCATTTTTGCATATCTTGACAGCTGTACCGTTTGATCAAAGAGGTCCATATTGTTTTCATTGCGACGCCGTCCTGGACCCCACAGCATGCAGCAACGCAGCTGTTTGTCTACAGAACGAAGTAAGAAAATCATTACCTAATTAACATTTCAACAATCACATTCTGTTTACTTTATTATCATTTTCATTGCCTTGTAGTTATTTTTTTCACATAAATGTAATCATTTATTTTTTTAAAGCTGCCATATACTTGGAACATCAAATTCTCGGTATAGATATATAATACAGTAAACAACAAAAGAAGTGAACAAAACAAGCTGAAAAATTCTTGAAAAAGGTAATCTATCGGGAGCAAGGAAAACAGAAGCCGCCCAGTTAGCTCAATTGATAAGGCGTTGGACTGTCAATCGGGCGACCCGAGTTCGATCCCCGGACGGTGCAGGTCACTTTTGTTGTGATTGATCATGAAATCTCTTCTTTGACGGTGTTTTTCACTGTACCTCCACTCTAGCATGTACAGAAGTTTCAGTTCCTTGCGGAAGTGACGGTAACTAGTACTGGTAAACTGGCCGGAACGTAGCGGTGGCTGAACTGTGCAATGTTAAATTCAATTTGGCTTACTGCCGTGATCCGGAGTGAAAACTACCAAACCAGCACCAGCACCAGTAGCAAGGGAAAAAAAGAAGAAAAAAAAAAGAAAAAAAAAAGATAGAAAATATAGACAGTTTTATTGTGTCTGTTTATGAAAGATAATGGAATCCATCATAAAATAATTTTAAAACTTTTTAGATAACAACGTTAATTAATGGTTATAATGTAGTTAAAGCTTAATTGTATTTTAATGGTGTCTATCAATTAGTTGATATATATACTCTGCCCTTAATAGATCTTTTTGAACCATCTCCAGGTTTGTCTTTTGTATTCTCCGAGCGACTTCGCTGGTCTGCCGGAAACTATTTTTAGAAGTTCCTGCGCAAGGCAGTCGGTAAGTTATTGGAATATACTTAGCTCACGGCACATTAATAATAAACTTCAGCGTCATACAAGTCTTAAGTCTTCACAGAAAATAGTTAAACATTATATTAGTTACTGTTGTAGAAATCTATTTCTAGGCAGCGTTATACAATAGATATAAAAGCTTTATAATAGTAACAATATTTATAAAATTTAGTTTACGTAATAAAAATAAATGTCAAACATTTCTTTACAGAAAACTAATTTAATGTCACAGGGTGAGAAACATGTGCAGCCTGACCGGGACTCGAACCCGGGATATACCGTTCTTTGGCTCTACCGACTGAGCTATCCGGCCGCTTACACATCTTCTCCCCTTAATAATGAACAGTTCTAAACCGTGATATTAACATAACATTGGTGTATAGTTCTCATTTTGTTAACCAAGTTAGACATTGGTAATAGACAAAAAGGCATATTTTTTCTATAATTACACCATTTAGAATCTGGATAATAGTTTTTAATCAACGGAATCAAAGGTGGGTATAGACTAAGTTAAAAATATGTAATTAAAAAAAGGCATATATATATAGCGATCACTGAATTGGACTTGGAAGATCACTACAAAAATTTGTAAATTCCAGAAATGTGACGAGCTACTTCGTACAGACGGAAGAACTGATTGTACACCCTATTGTTGCAAGACAGATTTTTGTAACGACAAATGTGGCATTCTACGGAACTTAACATCAACCTATATAATACCAACACATTCTTCTCCTAAAAGTAAGTATATAGCTTACAAGATTTAACAAAAAAAGTTAGCAAGGCCTGTTCTCGAAATAATGAAGTGCAGTCCGGTTAGCTCAATAGGTAGAGCATTGAACTGTGAATCGGACGACCCGAGTTCGATTCCCGGACGGTGCAGGTCACTTTCGTTGTGATTGATCATGAATTGATCATGAAATTCTTTCTACAGTCATTCGCACTGTACTTCTGATCTGGTATGTACAGAAGTTTCATTGCCTTGCGAAAATTAGGTAAACTGCAAGACAGCTTGTCCAGAAAGGATGCGGTGTCTAAAATTCAATGAGGCTTACTGCCGTGTTCGGAACTTCCGGGGTAAAAACTACCGATACCACCACCAACAACGTGCATTTTCGTAGACCTACATTGATTTATTTTGTATTTCTAAGATTCGCAAGTTTTTTTTTTTTGTATAATTGTTTACTGAGTAATGCAAACTAGCTACATGTTTTTCACCAATCAATATATATGAACTTCTTATAGGCAAAACTAACCATAAATTACATTTATTTTGTCGTAAAGGATGTGACAAATATGTTTACATTAATTCTATTGCACATTCTGCTATTTCATCATATCCCCCATCATATCAAGCTGGGGTTTTTTATAGTTGAATTCGACCTGAGTTATACTGAAGACCAATTTCCATATGAAGACTCAACAATTTATAAATTCTTTAACACAGCGTACATATGCTGTTTAATTGTCGTACAAAAAAGCATTGCAAAACATTATTATTTATCTTTTAAGATGACTAAGAAAATGTATATTTAAAGTTTTCGTCTTATACTAGTATTTGCTACTAATTACATCAATTGTTGTTCTTTTTCTTTACGTACAAGTTCATCATACAAATGTTCATTCCTTTTTTAATATAAAAACAAATTGTTTTAAATAAAAATTCTTCAGCAGACTTCCACAAAGCAATAAACAAAAACTTTTTACAATGCCAGCTATATTTAAATTGTAATCCCTATGATTATTTATGGTCTATTTTGTTTCATTTAATTTACTAAGCTTACATTCCGTATTGTTATGAAGTAGGACAAAAAAGTTAGGCAGTCTTTTTTATGAGTATAAAGAGTGAACTAAACAAAAGAAACATTTCTTTCCTTAGCAACCAAGGAAGTGTCCCCTACTTCCACTTCTTCTACTACTACTCCAACCACCACCACCACTGCTACTACTACTACAACAACGAAGAAACCAACTTGTACAGTCCCGCACCACAATAATCACAATCATTGCGAGGGTGACGGTTATTTCTTATTACGCACGGATAAACACAGTACCCGTCTCTGCGTTCATTTTGTGAAAAACCACAGCACCTGGGACGCCGCCCGAAAAATATGCAAACATGAAGGGGGTGATCTTGTTGTCCTTGACGATCATCATAAAGCCAATTTGATTAGACACTATCTCGAAAAGTCCAGTAAGCATACCGAATTTGTATTTTTTCCATATTTCATGTTGAAGTATTGTTTGGTTTTGTTTGTTTGTTTGATTGGGTTTTACGTCACACCGACAAAGTATAGGTCATATGGCGACGTTCCAGCTTTACTGGTGTAGGATGACCTCTGGTGTCCTTCCGTGCATTATTTCAGGCACGAACGGAAACCTAAGTAGAACCACCGACGTTCCGTAAGCTAGCTGGAAAGCTTCCTCACATGAAAGAATCCAAAGTCCCTGTCGGGATTTGAACCCACAGCGGTAAGGGGCAAGTAGTTTGAAGTCCACAACCTTAGCGACTCGGCCACGGACGCTATTGTTTGTTATTGTAATGTTACAGCATGCATGTTATAAATCCTTAGAATATTTGCATAATTATTTCAATGCCATAATAAATGGAGTAAAAAATATGTCATTTAGAATTATGGTATACTAGCTCTGTATATATTGAAGACGGGGTATAATTATCAAAAAGATGCAATAAAGCCTCGTTGCAATTCTGGTATACTTCATAGGATAATAGATTTATATAATTTTGACGACTAGTCTTCCTGTTTTCAATTTTAAAATGTGTGGCATTGAGTTACGAAATCATACTAAAGTAAAACAGCACACGTATGACCTCTCTTTACCATATAAAAGGCGGCTATTTAAGAATTTGAAACCAGAACAATGTCCGCACAGCACTATCGAAATCATCTAAAAAATACTAAACTTTAGAAGATTTTTTTTTTATCAAAACGAACCAGATGCCTAGTTTTTTTAAGTCAACAAATGGATATATTGAAAAATTTAGATATTTTATGACAGTGCACTGCAACAGCTCTTACGCAGATGTCAGTTGAACCCCTTTAGTTTAGCCTGGTTCCACGAAATTAAATCTTGGTAAACTATAGACAGTTGCACAGTCCATTATTTGTATACGGAGATAAGAAAACATTGTCTTTTCATTTGAAGAAAATGTAAATAGAATTGTTTTCAACAAAGCCAGAAATTAAAATTGGGTCATGAAGTGTAAAGCTGGTGTATGTGAATATTTATTTGTACTAGTGTTTTTATTGACAACTCGCAAAATAAGTCGTGTCATTCCGCAGTAAATCATGCATCTTATTCACCAGTCTGCTCCGTGTACATCCAGTGATCTCTAAATATGAATGATTGAATATTTAAATCAGTCGTATCAATTAAGCCTCGTTTATTTTAGAGTCTAAAAATATGTATGATGATTTAATCACTATGATACTTACTTCATCTGGAGTGGTCGAGTGGTTCAAGTCGTTGACTTCAAACCTCTCACCGCTGTTGGTTCGAGCCGCGCAAGCTTCGTCGGATTCTAAGTGTAACTTTTCAGCTACCTTACGGAACGTAGGTGGTAATACTCAGGCAGCCGTTTGTGCCTGAAATAATGTACAAAAAAGGGCACCTGAGGTCTTCCTAAGGTGGAAGGTCGCAATATGAGCTATACTCTGTTGGTGCGACGTAAAAACCAAAAATAAATGTACTCCGTCTAGCACCGTTTTCATTTTCCGAGTAAAAGAACCATATCACATTCTTATTGTTCCCGACGAAACAAAGTACATGTAAAATATAATTGGTTTGAATTAAAGAGGTTACTTAACATTGTTGGAGTACAAAAATGATTCTATTGGAATCATATAAAGCTTATTTTCTCTTAGATTCTGTGTTTCATTTTATCACAAATATATCTTGGTCTTAGCATAATCTTAGTTTTCTTTCCTCGTCCTCGGTATATACATGTATGTATTTACTGTTATGTTGATTTGAGTTGTGGTTTTGCATATGATCTAACTGGTCGGATTTAAAATACAATCACTAGCTTTGAGCAGTTAGGCTTTCAATTGTTTTCTAATTTAATTTACAGTTTACAATCACTCGAGCTTTTGGATAGGAGCACGTGATTTCGAGGAAACCAGGCAATTCTCCTGGGTAGACTGCAAGGAGCTGATTAACACCAGGGCCGACTGGGACTCAACGCAACCGAGCTTTTCGAGTCATGTCGCACGTGTTTGTGTAGGAATTAACAATCCTAATTTCAAATGGCACAATAGAAATTGTAGTAATGTTATAAAATCTATTTGTGAACGAAAATTATATTGATATAAAACCTATTTGTGAACGCAAATTATATTGATATAAAAAAAATCATAACCCAAAAATTGCGTAGTTTCATTTGCATGAACATTTCACGTTAGTTATTTCAAATTAGTAATTCATTTACTTTCATTGAAACAAATTTAAAACATATCTAGCTAAAAATATCCTCAAAAAAGTTTGAAAAAGTGTGAAAAAGTATGAAAATATATTTGTTATTTTTATTTTGATATTAAATAATTATTTGCGATTTTCAGTGTTATTTTTCTTCTTCTTGAATTTGAGTGGAATGAGCATGCGCAAACAAAGTATTTTTAAATTTTCTGTTCGGAAATTGGATCGGAAACAGACTAACTATTTTAACATACATGCATTAATTTATTATACACTAGGCGTAAGGATATTGTCCCTTATTGTCTTAGAGGAAATGCTATTTTTTGAGACAGCACTTTCATTTAAGTCGATGAGATGACAACATCAGAAGTAAAGTTGATTTGCAGCCACATGTTTGTCAGGATTGTGTCAACAAGTGGTTCATTTTTAAGATTATATATTCACCTTGATTCTTACAAATGATGACAAATGGTTGAATTGTTTTTTGTTTGTTTGTTTGTTTGTTTTATTTTACGCCTTTTCTCAACAGTATTTGAGTCATATAGGCGGGTAGTTTCCTAACCATCGTTCCTGGAGAGTTACACCAGTACTAGACTACCTTCCTCCGTGCTAAACTACCAAAGCATCTCACGGGGATCGAACCCACGCCAGAAAGAAATGATTGAATAAGGGACCTCCGTGGTCAAATGGTTATGGTCGTCGAATGTTTTTATTTAGTACATTATTTAGTGCCCCATTTGTGCAAACGTTTTGTATGAACTTTGTTTCACAAAACTATCATCATCTGTTCTGTAGCTTTTTCATGTAAATTGTCTTTGTGTAAGATATGTGTGATATCCGTTTAATGTATAATGTACATAGTCTCTTGTAATACCAATTGTAAGCCCCATGCCGAAATGCCAACAGTACGATCGCAATCATAGCTTATAACAACGCAGTAGAATCGCAAGTTGGCACCGTATGAATGCGAAGAGCACATTCAATTAAATGTTTTCTTTTTTTTAATAGATTTGAGTTATTATGAGTGGCATTTAATGAAGTTCAGTGTGAATATTTTTCTTTGGCAAATAGAGGCAGAGTTCATTTCAAACTGATACTCTTTTGTATAAAAAGAAAGGTGTAAGATTACAGATTGCTCCTTGGATATATTGTTACAAGAGCCTACTAGAATTCCTAAAGAAATAAAGAATCCGAGTATTGTAATTACTTGTTAATTATCTTATTTTATATAAAAGTGTCAGAGACATAAATAAAATACAAAGACATAAATAACGTTCCAAAATAGGGAGTAATTAGATATTTGAATAAATATTGAAAATGCTACATGAATAAATAGTGAAAAAGAGCGTAAACTTAAAATGGCCCCAATTATGTTCCTCAAAATGGAATATATATCAGTATTTTCACCTAAAATATATATAGATGAAGATATATAATCAGTTTTTCATTTGCTCTAGAAATATATGGCTGTTTTGCAATTTTTTGATATCCCGCATACATTATTATGTATTCATAAGTTTAGGAAATCGATACTTTTGATAGAAATGATAGAAATAATGTGCCAATGCTTAAAACGCTAGAAAATATGTCAAAACACAACAAAACGTGTTTTGATTACCTTACATTATTCTCAAAAACATTCAAATTATGTTGTTTTTGCCCAATCGCTAGTAACGGTGGTATATTCCAAATGAGTTATTACAACAGTTGATGGAATTTCTAAGAAAAGACTTTTGCTCTGTAACTAAAATTGACCTAACTTGTACTTATAAAGAGGAAAAATGTCCAGCCCAGTTCAAAACTTAACAACCCGGTTTAGTACTGCTATGTCGTTAAAACGGATTTTTCTTCTTGTCACCAAAACAGTAGTTACTTCCTGTCGCAAAAACAGTATTAACTTCCGTGACAATTATTGAATTTTGTTCCACTGTTGCAACATATTTGAAAAAAAATCCATTCAAGCTTCATTTAAATGTGCCGCAATTTTTCTTAGAATTTCTTGTATTTAATTAAATATTTTAATGACAACTTCACTTATTCAAGGATTTAGCCAAGTTATTGCAACATTGCCATAAGCTCTCTGTTAAAAGCATAACGCTATTGTCGATTGAATATTAATTGCTGACGGAAAACGGTCATTTGCCAACTCGGTCTTGCCCTGAGACATTTGCCTCCCCCTTTTACCGAGGCGGATATTTGCCACACCCGGTCTTATTTTGAACTCTAAAACTTCTGAAGAGCGTACGTTTGTCCCTGTAGTAAAATCTGCCGTATTAATATAGAATGAAATTCAAGCAAAAACAGAGGTCGACTTTATAACTAGTCTGTTCACCAACGTGGTAAATGCAGGTATGAGCCGTACATGTGTATTTATGTAGTGATACATGCCTGTTATTCTGTATGTTCTGTAGTGTTGTGAATTAACATTGAAGCATAGTTTACATAATGTGTAAAGGTATTTATAGATGGCACTGTATTATCTATATAAGGATAACAATTTTTTTTAATCATCAGCTAAGAACAAACATAATATATATGGAACAGTGCAGGAAAGCGACATAAATTGAAATGCTTACAAAGAATATTTAAATCAGAGACCGAAAATTGTAGCCGAAACGCGACACGATCATTTATTCGGGCATATTTGTTTTGTTTCTCGTCAAATAATGTATTGAAATCATATCATTTTCTATTGTTCAGTACTTATTTTATCCTTTATTTTTCTGCTGTTGTATTCAAATTTCATGTATTATATGTAATTGCTTTGCTTATTTATTCAATATTCTGTCGACATGCATGATAAATTTTAAACATAAAATATATTAATCTAAAATATTCATACTACAGTACATAGAACAAAAGTCGTATCACGAGATGATTAAGTCGTGCGCACGAGATGCTTTGTCGTGGCCACGAGATACTAAGTCGTTACCACGGGTTACTAAATCGTGGCCACGAGATAATTAAGTGGTGTGCACATTATACTTTTTTTACAAGAACTGTATCTCACGGCACTCTTTAAAATTAGGAAATACCACGACAATGCAGAAAAACGCTGTTTATAGTGTTATAGTGGCATAATTCTGTAAAGAATTGCTGTATACTTGCCTCTGTGATGTAACTTATTTTATGTATTTTGTTAACATGTGTTAAGAAAACAAAATCGTTAAATAAAAAACTGAAATAAAAGAGAATAAATAAATAAATAAATAAATAAAATAATAGATGAATAAATAAATAAAATAAAATAAATAAATAAATAAATAAATAAATGAATATTTTGTGACGTTACCATTTCGGTTATTTACTGATTTAATCAAATAATTGTGCTCTTTTTTCAAAAGGCTGGAGTTATTATGAGTGACATTCAATGAAAATTTTCCAGAGTTAATATTTGTTTCTTTGGTGTATTGACACAGAGCTCTCATCAAATTGATACATCTTGTTGTGAAAAGGCGTCAGATTATATTACTTGGATATATTGTTACAGAACGTAATAAAATTTCCCCAAAAAATAAAGCATTCATTAAATATATTTCTTGTTATTTAATTATCCTATTCCAAATAAAAACATTCCATAGACTACTTTTTCTCTCTTGGTAACGGCGTTGACCTCAGTTGTTACAATATTTGATAAACAAAACTAAAGTCTTGTAAAGCATTCATACAATATTTTATTACCACGTTCAGAATGTGACATAGAGTATTAATGATAAGGATCTTACAGCAGCTTCCGGTATATACCGGAATATCTAGCTCGGCGGTAACGAGGCTCTGCCGAGTCTCCGCTACACCGTTATGGTTTTTAAAAAGGGCAACAGACCAGAAAATATAGATTTATTCTATGATAATTGTAAACTTAATATTGTCACAAAATTTACATATCTTGGAGTTACATTATCTTCCAATGGTTGTTTTTTACAGGCTCAAAAATCTTTATCGCAACAGGCAATGAAAGCCATGTTTTCTCTTGCTTCATTATTTGATATTGTATCGTTGACTGTATCGGAAAAAATTAAGTTGTTTGATTCCATGATTGCTTCTATTATGAACTATGGGTGTGAAATATGGGGGTTTCATAAGGCCCCGGATATAGAACGGCTGCATATGAAATTCATAAAACAAATATTGCAAGTAAGACAACAAACAACCAATGCTACAATATACGGGGAATTAGGTAGATTCCCTATAATTATTATACGTAAGATAAGAATTATCCGATACTGGTATAAAATTACGAAAAGTCCAGATTCAATTATGTACAAATTATTTAATATGCGTGATAGACATGGCAATCATATATGTATGTGGTCGAAAAATGTTAAAAAAATATTAGATGATACTGGATTTACATATCTATGGAATAATGTCTCTTTGTCTAATGTGCAAATCCAAAATGTAATACAACGCATATATGACCAATATTTACAACAATGGTTTTCTGATCTTAGAACTCAACCTAAACTTGAAACGTATTGTTTACTGAAAACAGATTTTGAACCAGAAAAATATATTTCTTGTGTTAAGAATGAAAATCATAGAATTAGTTTGACCAGATTTAGATGCTCTGCACATAACTTACTTATAGAAGAAGGAAGACATAGAAATATAGAAAGAAACCTTAGAATTTGTACCAAATGTAATATGAATGTCATTGAAAATGAATATCACTTCCTCTTAGTTTGTCCGTTTTATAGAGAATTACGTATCAAATGTTTGCCAAATTATTATTGTCATTGGCCTAATTTATTCAAGTTAAAAAATCTTCTTAACAGTTCTCAAAGCAGTACTATTATCAAGCTAGCTAAATATATATACCAATCATTTTCTTTAAGAGGATGATTATAAATAATTTATGTATTGTGTAACCTTTGTTGTAATGTCATAAATAATTTATATGTTTTTATGTTCAAAGTATATAATTGTTATTATCATGCTTTTCTCATGTTCAAAATATATATTGTTTTGTATTGTGCCGCCAGATGTATTGGCGATAAACATTGTATATATGTTAAAGCCAAATAAACATTGAATTGAATTACACAAGATCAGCT